GCACAGTGACTTTTAGCCAACTTAGTTGTTTGATTTAGCATTTAATTTTTAGAGTATTTATTAGATAGTGGTCAGGATGGGTCGGCAGTTTCTGCCCCGGCTGCAGAAGCAGCTCCAGGTTGTACAGCTGTACAGCGGACCTGGAAATTAGGCGCCAGTGGCTGCCTGCTTTGGGGCTACCAGACCGCGATCTCCCGCCTACAGCTTGGTAGTGCAACCATCACTTCTCCAAAGATTGTTTTTCCAACATCATGGAAGTGGAACTGGGTTTTTCTAAATTGGCCAAGCTAAAAATTCCAGGGTAGAGCAGTACAACTGAAAATGTGGGGTTTAGTTACCCTTTAAAAGCGAGAAGTATCTACGACACGAGGATAACAACCTCACAGTTTTCACCCTGGCTCGGCGCTCTCCTCTCATTGGACGATCTGAAACTCATATGTAATCCAATAAAAATGTACCGTCCTTCTTTGTTCTGTTCCCGTGTAAACATCCCAACACTTTTATCCTGAGTGCTTATCCTTACGATCCGCTGAGCTTTTATTCTGACACTTCAACACGCCACATGGCCACCTCTCTTCTGTCCGTCCAATGAGAAGACGAGTTACGCACTGTTGATAAATGACAGTCCGGGGTCTCATTTAAAAATATGTAAACACAGAAGGGATTTGAAACTGGCGTACGCCACTTCCCACGCAAAGTTGTGATCTATAGAAACGAACCTGAAGGTGAAATGTTCACACCAGTAAGAAAATGCTGACCCGTGCACGTACAGTTAGGAGGCGAGGTGGTGAAATGAAGATGGACTTTGGAGCGTCTCGGACATTAAACTTTACTGACCACTCCACGCCATCATAACCATCATAACCATCATAACCAGCAGGTTTGTAAACGTAGCTTTAATAAAAATATTTATAACATTTATAAAAACTGATTGGCCACATCAATGTAGTCTCACGTTCATTTAACCTTTATTTAAATGTTACGAGCAGAGGCGATCAGTCTGCTCGGCTTTCGACCTTTACTGTCTGAATTTACAGTAAAGGAGACGACTCTGAATATTTACTGTTCCTCACTTAAGTCTCTTCTGGACGTTTTTGACGATGATTACAGTCTTAAAGTCAAATTAAAAATGTGTCCCGCTGTTTTCAGGGTTTAGGAGGTCCACAGGCTGGACGGGGGACGCCGGTATTTCACGTCTTGTGCCTCGCAGCGACATGGACCACAACAGACGCATCATTCAGAGCCAGCGCTGACATGTGATGACTTTTATATTTTACAAAATAACGCAACCAAGAACTTCTTACAGTCGAGACCTCCTCCAGTTTTCGTACAAGACAGTCCAAACTGTATTAGTAGGTACACTGCTGTACATCACAGGAGAACTACAAGATCACAGGAGAACTACAAGATCTCAGGAGAACTATAAGATCACAGGAGAACTACAAGATCTCAGGAGAACTACAAGATCACAGGAGAACTACAAGAACACAGGAGAACTACAAGAACACAGGAGAACTACAAGATCACAGGAGAACTACAAGATCTCAGGAGAACTATAAGATCACAGGAGAACTACAAGATCACAGGAGAACTACAAGATCACAGGAGAACTACAAGAACACAGGAGAACTACGAGATCTCAGGAGAACTACAAGATCTCAGGAGAACTACAAGATCACAGGAGAACTACAAGATCACAGGAGAACTACAAGAACACAGGAGAACTACGAGATCACAGGAGAACTACAAGATCACTGCTGTAAAATTGTTTAGTTTTTTTGCCAGTCATGTGTAAGTGACTTCCTGTGTTACTGCAGCCTGCCTCTAGTGGACACTCGACGAACTGCAGGATTTTGCACTTCCGCATCGGCTTCATTTTTCAACACAGGAGGTTGCTGCTCGTTTTAAACACGTTTTTTGGCACACTAACCTTTAGTAAACCAGGCCCTTTACGAAGTCCTGCACGTTTAGTTTGAAAGTTAGACGTCAAAACCGGATGTGCGTTGACCATTCTTTAGTAATAACGGACAATTTACTTTTCAGTGACAGATAGTTAAACAAAGAAAAGACGAGGAGAGCTGCAGGTAAAGAATTATGTTTATTATTTATCAGTGGTCACTATTTTGCACCAGTTTCCGTAGTGTAGTGGTTATCACGTTCGCCTAACACGCGAAAGGTCCCCGGTTCGAGACCGGGCGGAAACATGTTATTTTTTATTTTTGCTATTAAAATTGTTTTAAAAGTAATTTTGATTTGAATCATTTATATAAACGAACACAACTCACACCACGCCTTTAACATATCCCAGCAGTTACATTTTTGTCCCTTCACAGCACCCTTCCTCCATTTCTCTCAGACAAACTCACTGCTTATTTCAAAGAGTTTGAAAACATGTTTTGAACCAGGGAATAAAAATGGCGGACCTGCGCAAAAGCTTTGTTCTAGGCTGGGGGTGGAGTCCATGGGTGGAGATATCAGGGGAGGGGGAGGGATCCCACCAGAATCCCACTGTGACATCACAAGGAGAGCACATTTAAAATGGGGCATTTTTCTCTGTGTTGTAAGACTTATGCAGACCACAAACAAAGGACTGGATGGGTTTATTTCACATTTTATGGGTCAGTAGACACTCAGGTTACCCAAATATATGTTCACAAACACTGTAGAAGTGGATTCTTAACCACACGCTTAACAGAGGAAACTCATCTTTCATGTCAACTTTAAGAGTTGTCCGATTCAATCCAATCAACTTGAACATTTTCTGTCTCATGCTGAGCGAAGATGTTCTTCACATTAAAGGTTTTGAGTTGTCGAGTGTTTTGGCTCTCTCTTCTGGTGTGTGTCAGGGCCCCTTAAACAGATTGTTTAAGATCAGTGTGACCACGTGATCCTGTGATCATTTTAATAAACAGCTGTTTTACCGAGGGAAATTAACGTTATCAGGCTCTTTACGGCGGGAAAAATTAACGAAGAGTTCATCACTTCATTTACGTCCGTTTCACTACACCTGACACACAAATATTCAACTTTGTATCCAATTAAAACTACGAGTCATGAGGGATCAGGGTGCAATACTAGTTGGGACAGAGATCCCCATACAGCATGAGCCACTGACAGGGACCCCCATACAGCATGAGCCACTGACAGGGACCCCCATACAGCATGAACCTCTGACTTACTACTTGTAGGCCTACATGAAGCTTCACCGCAGCTCTGCCTGCGAATCAGAATTTAATAAGCTGAAACACGGCCGAATATTTAGTTCTGCTCGTGATCGTACTGAGAACGGCCGGTGGTGAATAATAAGCCAATGGGCTGATCATTTAGTTGGATAAAGCTACAATTTGCAAACTGAAAGCTGCTAAAACAATCATATATATTTTCCCCGACTGTTCTGTTAGTACGTTCAGTATACGAATCACTGACTGACTGAGCGGGAGAGAGAAACTCAGAGCTCCCGTTCAGTACATTCAGTGAACGACTGACTGACTGACATTTACGCGACACCTAAATGTTAAAAAAGGATTTGCTACTTCCTCAATTTTCGAGACATGAGAGGGAGATGGAGGGGCGGGCTTGAGCGACTCTTGCGGTCCAGAGAGAGAGACACGAGACAGGAGAGCGCAACTGAAGTTGAGAAATTAACAACTCTTTTCAGTAAGTGATTCAGTTCAGTTCGTTCACCCAGATGATTCGTTCTTTTTGAATGAATCGTCACGAACAACACATCACTACTGCTTTATGAGAAAAAGTTTAAAGTTAGTGATGAGAGCAAAGTCTGCTTTAAAATAAAAGATTATCAAACACTGACAGAGTTTGACCACCAGAGGGAGCCACTGTTCTCCTCATCTCAGGCTGCAGGTAATCTGTGACACACACGCACACACACTCCAGTCTAACCTGCCATCCCTGAACGACTAGTTGTTACATCACACACACACGTACACACACACACACACACACACACACACACACACACACACACACACACACACACACACACACACACACACACAGTCTGGGCGTCCCGCCAGTTAAGGGCCCGGCACTAGGAGCAGGAAGTTCCTTGTTTGGGCGTCAGGATGTCCGATGCAGCGACAGGAAACACCATATTTGGCTAAAGTTGAAATATGCTTTCCTTCAGGGAGCCAAGTCTGATCCTATTGGCTGTTTAATACACACACACACACACACACACACACACACAGATATACACACACTGGATTTACTGCTGAAAAAAATACCAGAGTGTGTACTGTGTATTCGCTGACTTTGAACTTAACTTCTCCTCCTTTTTTCTTCCTCTCCAGTTTTAATGTTTGTTCGAAATGTTTACTTCAGTCGGCATGCATGCTGTGCTCTCATTGATTGTTGCTGTAATATTGTTTTTATTGATAGCTGTTTGTCAACATGTCTGCACCTGACGACCTTATATCAGATCCTTTATGATTGACGTGATGTATTCTATCTGAACTAACGTCTTTTTTTTCTTTGGACTCTAAATAACTTAAAGTTCAAAACGTGTCTGAATGTGTCCAGTACAGATCTTCATCCTGCAGCAGGTAAATGGACTTGAGCTTGTATGGCTCTTTTCTAGTCTTCTGACTACTTAAAGCACTTTTACACTGCAGGTTACAAATATTACATACTAGATCACCACACATTTACACACTGATGGTAGAGGCTGCTGTGTAAAGAGTCCATTAGCAGTAACTAATACCATTCATACACATTTACACACTGCTGACAAAGCAGCAGGAGCAATTTGGGGTTGCCCACAGACACATCAGACATGTGGCTGCAGGAGCTGGCGATTGAACCGCCAACCTTCTGGCTGAGAGACAACCGACTATCCAAGTGACTCACAGCCGCCCCAGACTGTATTGTGGGACTGTTTACCTGCTGCAGGATGAAGATCTGTGCTGGATACTCAAGAGAGATAAAAAGGTGTGTCAGTGTAAATCTCATGAATGCAGTTTGAGTTTGAAATAAAAGCTCGATCAGGATGTTGACTTTTTATTCTTTAAGCTTTAAAGAAACAAACGTTCAGTGGAAGTCAAACACTGAGCTGCATGTAAACATACAAACATCTGAAACCTACGCAGTAGGTAGAATACTGTACACATTCATGAGTGAACGTTATACTACTTGTACACGCTGTGTTTACAAAAGTTATTTACACTCGTTCATAAATGAAACCAGGCCGGCTTGAATCAGCAGGTTATGAGGTTTGGTCCTGAGAGTCTTTCTCACATCGTCAGAGGAACTACGGAGGCTGAGGAGGCTCAAACAAGCCAATCAACACGAGCTGCTCCTCACCTCTGTTGACCTTTGACCTGAAGTTTGTGTTCAGTGAGTTTAGTCAGGGGTCAAAGGTCACAGGTGACTTCCTGTCCGTCAGCAGGTGTTGGGGCTGTGAGGGAGGAGCTCAGACTGAGGGGAGGAGGGGCGGGTCAGCAGGGGAGGAGGAGCTATGAGCGGGGGAGGAGTATGAGGAGCACGGGGAGGTGTAGGGGAGGGAGGCAGAGGGGGAGCAGGTCTTGCGCTCTCGTTGTCTCTGGTGGATCTTGGCGTGTCTTTTGCGTTCGTCGCTGCGAGCAAACTTGCGTCCGCACTCCCCACATGAGAACGGCTTCTCGCCCGTGTGAGTGCGGATGTGCGTGGTCAGATGGTCGCTGCGACTAAAGCTGCGCATGCAGATGCGACACTGGAACGGTTTCTGACCAGTGTGCACGCGCACATGTCGGGTCAGCTCGTCGGAGCGGGAGAAGCGACGGTCACAGCCGTCAGCCGGGCAGGCGTATGGACGCTCATGTGGCGGAGTCTTGCACTGCCGGCCTGCAGGTGACTTCCTGCTCCTGCTGGTCTTAGCGATCTGGTCCTGTGGGGTGTGGCTTTGGGTCTGGATCTGGGAGGAGAAGGCCTTTATGGTGGAGAGCGGCGTGAGGGGAGGCGGATTCTGTATCAGGACAGGTTTCTGGTCAACAGCTAGCTCGCTGTCCTGCAGCGCCTGAGGCAGAAGGTAATCCGGGAGCATTGGTACCACCACAGGCGAGGGAAGGCCGAGCCTGGAGGAGGAGGAGTGGTAGGCGGGAGGGGGGCCCTGTGGCTGGAAAGATGGGAGGGCCGTCTGGGAGTCAGCAGGAGGGAGGTGGGAGGAACCGGCAGCGGTGGTGTAGGTCGGTGTTGAAGAGATGATAGAGGTGACATCACTGCCGCAGCTGAAGCTCTGCTGGGACAGTGACGATGATGATGAAGATGAAGAGAGGCAGCAGGCTGCAGCAGGAGGAGATGCCATGCTGACCAATCCTGTGACCAGGCTGAGGAGAGGCTCTGTCCACAGGCCGCCGCAGGAGGTCGAAGGCTCGAAGGAGAAGCGCCCGCTGTAGGCCAGATGGGGGAGGCGGGGGGTGAGAGGGGGGAGAGACTGCAGGTCGGACAGGTCTGATAGAGAGTCTGAGGGAGAGAGGGAGCGAGAGACAGGTGAGTGACAGGTAACAGCAGACAGAAGTGTGCTGTGATCTGATTGGCTGTCAGGAGTCAGCTGACTGACCTCTCATGTTATTAACAGAGCAACATGTGTAAACTAGAAACATCTCATTAAGATGAACGGTTTGACTGGATGACTTTAAATATTCATCAAATGTCTAAAAATACCTTTAAACACTTTTAATGAGTTTAACAGCTGATCAGAGTCATCTTATGATCCAACTTACTTCATTATTAAAGTTTATTTCTCCATATTTAAATTTTTCTAACTGCAGGTGAACCTTTTAAAGGTGTTTACATTTATACTTATATATATTATATATAACCCCACTCCTCGCGCTTCTCACCTGCGTACTCCCCGGAATCCCCGGTCAGCAGCCCGGCTCCCTCTGCAGCGGAGGCGGCCAGCAGCGAGCCTCCCGCCGCGGCGTTCTGCAGCAGCATGCGCAGCTCCTCCAGCTTGGAGAAACCGTCCAGCGGGGAGAGGGGCTGCGGGAGACCGGCCAGGGGGTCCGAGATCTGCAGAGCGGAGAGGAACAGCTCCGCTTTGGTCGCTGCCATCTCCCTGCAAGAGGAGGAGGAGGACGAGGAAGCCGGAGAGCTGAGCCGCTTCGGAAGCTCGTGAGCACCGCTCTGATCCTGCGCCGGGAGCGGGTTGTGCTTCGCCGCTACACCCCGTGGAGAGGCACTCCGGCCGGGCTGAAGCTGCTGCTGAGGCAGCTGGTGCTCCAAGGCTGGAGGGTCCGCGGGTCCGGGTCCTGGTACGGGTCCCGGGTTTGGAGGATTCAGTAAGTTTGTGATGATGTCATCACAGAAAAGTAAACATAAACATTTGTTTCCGGTCAGTGTTCTGAGAGCTCGCGTTGACACCTTGAACTTCAGTCCTGTCAGGATCCTTCAATGAGGATTCCCGGCTTTATAAAGACTCCTGCGTGACGTAAATTTCCATATATGGCAGGGAGGAAGCCCATATTTGGGGGGTAGGCGCGTAGCTCCGGTTGACTCGGTTCTCCGGTGCAACTCGCTCCCTTTGTTACTCTGAATCTGGACCCTAAAGGATCCGATAGAGTTCAGTTCTCGGTCCGGCTCGGTGCTCACTGCTGTCGGCCGGACCGGAGCCGTTAACGGCGCTCAGCCAAGCGCCATGGCCGGAAGCCCCCGCGACACGTCACGGCGCAGAGCTGTTTTTTTGGCCTCTACGTCACATGGAGCGCTTCCAGCCGCGTCATCACTTCCTCAGACCTTATATGGGTGTCTTCCTGTCGGACGGATCTGAGAGCTGCAGGTTGAACAGTCACAGTGTCTGAAGTCAAAGTAGGACTCAGCTTTTTCAGGCGGGAAGTCATTCAGTACAGTATATGACTTAAACCTGCGCATGTCATGTTTCAGAGATCTCACAGAGAGCAGCTCAGCGACACTATGACTGAATAGAAAACACAACAAGAAGTCAAGGACAGTACAGAATCACAGTCAACAGTCTAAACTAAGAGTTAGTGCTGCTGCTTTTAAAAGCATGCAGTTTTATTTAATCTTGGTTGGTTTCTCAGCCTCTCACTGAACAAAGCAAAAAGTCAGAACAGTGTCGTTCAAATCTCTTCTGAGATTATAGACATTAAAAGGTGAGATTTGAACTCTTTTAGGACTTTCACACCTGCAGAAAACAACAGAAAATCTACAATTCTACAATTCACTTAGCAGACGCTTTTATCCAAAGCGACGTACATCAGAGAGTAAGTACAACACAAGCAAGGATCTAGAAAAAAGGGAACAATGTCAGTAAGAGCAAACAATCAGCTTTGAGTCTGATTGGACATACAGGTGCTGACAGGAAGTGACCAGAGGCAAAGCACAACATTGACGGCAGTTCTTGAGCGCTCTAATCAATATAGAAACCATCTTAGAAGTTGTCGTTATCAAACAAAAACCATCATCATTACCATCATCATCATCAATAATATGGAGACCATCATCATTAAGTTAGTAGGTATTCATAAAAGAGCTGGGTCTTTAGCTTTTTCTTAAAGGTGCAGAGGGTCTCTGCAGATCGAATGGAGTTTGGAAGTTAATTCCACCACCGGGGGTGACAGAGGAGAAGAGTCTAGTCAGAGACTTAGGACCCTGTTGTGAAGGTTGGATAAGATGCCTTTCATTGGCAGAGCGTAGTGGCAGGAGGAGTGTAGACCTGGATGAGAGAGTTAAAGTAAGACCGTTTTTGTCGCTGTTTTGTAAGCGAGCAGCAGAGTTTTAAATTTGATGCGAGCAGTAACTGGGAGCCAGTGTAAGGAGATGAACAGCGGAGTGACATGTGCTCTTTCAGGAAGGTTGAAGACCAGTCGTGCTGCTGCATTTGTATCATCTGCAGGGGTTTGATAGTGCATGTAGGAAGACCTGCCAGTAGAGAGTTGCAATAATCGATGCACGATCTCCTAACATTTCCGTGCTGAGCGTCATGTGTGAACACAAACAGCTGAATGTTTCTCTCTTCACCCGGAGTTTCTCCTCCAGCCTCCTCGTATTATTCTGCAGAAAGTCAGAGTGAGCTGATGTGAGAACTCAGCAGGATATAATCAGGAGATTCACCTGGATCGAGTGGGGGTGGTGACGTTTATTCCCTGTGATCACTGCACGACCATAAACTGTCTGCACGCCACCTCTACCATCTCTGTGCTCTAATGAACCTGCTGCATTATGTTTCCTGTTCTCCAGTATGTTCTTCTCCACTCTTTAGTTCAGATTGTGATTCTGTTCAACTACACATAGCATTGATAGACAGACACATATTTTCATTATAGAGTCGTATAGAGGACTCTACTGCTTTGTACGCATCATTTTTTAATGTCAAGTCTTTCCTCAGGAGGACCCCCCCTACTGACTGACAGGGTTAGTCTCTGCTGTGAGTTCATGTGTGAACAACCAGATCAGGAGAATATCCGGAGCAGTCCTCCTAAAAGGAGCGCCTGCGTGAAAACGGCTCTTTGTTAGCAGCAGATCCTCAGGAGGGCTGCAGGTATATCTGAGCTTCTTCTGGTCATGTGCTCTGAAGTCAGTTTTCTCTGTTGCCATGACCCTCGTTATGACCACCATCATTCAA